TCTATCATACTAGATAGGATAAAAATAAATATTTTTGACAAAAATATCTTTTAATAAAGAAAATAACAGTAAGAAAATAAACCAGCTTTTCCAAAATGATGGCTTATATATTCTTGCTTAACTTGAAGTAGATTGATATCATTGAATCCAGTAAATAACAGTAAGAAAATAACTTAGCTTTTCCAAAATGCACTGATGTAAAATTACATTGGAAAATTTGAAAAATGGAAGAACATTGATCATTAAGCCGAACATAAAGAACAAAACACATTGATCTTAACTTTGCAACAACAAAACAAGTAGCAATTTTTAAGCCTCCAAATTTAGCCATTCCGCATCATTTCATCAAATCCTATCATGATTACAAAGCAACCTAAAAGCGCTTAACCATAACAAAGTAAGCAATAATTGCAGGAAAAAAATGAAGAACACAAACTCAAGTTGTTTTCAGCTTCAAAGTTCACACTAATAAACAGCTACGTTTCTACAAAAGATAATTGAAGAAAAGTCAACAAATGTTTACATTCACATTCAAAATCGTAACTTTACCGCTCTTTCACCACCGCTCTTTGTTAGGCATTTCATCAAACACCTTTCGTGCATCCAGAATTTTCTTGCAAACAGCTGTAAAAGTTTATCAGATTGTTATCAATGTAGACATCAGAGTCGAAATCATACTTAAAAAGGTTTGCTAGTGAGCCATAGCATGTTTGTAACGGGATTTTGGGAGGAATTAAAGGGGCGGTTTTAGGGGAGTTGTTGGGTGTGGTGGTTTTGAGGGGTTTGGAGGGGGGCAGAAATTGCCAGGCACGGTGGAGTTGTTGGAGTCCGGCGGTGGTTTTAGAGAGAAGGATATGGTTGTTTGTGGCGGAGGAGGAGGAACAGTGGTGTTGGTGGGTATGGAGAAGTGTGAGGTGGAGAACGAGAAATATTCCATTATTATTGACATCGGGTTGCTCCGGTGACAGATGGTGGCGGAGGGAGAAGAGAAGTGAGGGGCAAAGGTGATTGGGAAAGAAAGGGGTAGAAGGGGAAGAGACAAATGAGACCTAATACATCATCCCTTGTCAGGTCTAATCCCACCTCCTTAGACCTGATTATCTTATACATCATTTTGATGTATTAACTGATCTTGCTGTATAAACTTATACTATACGATGGTCACCCCAAACAACTAAAAATGTCATAACGTATAGTATAAGCTTATACTATCAGGTCTTATACATCACACCAAACAGACCCTGTGTGTTTATATTTATGCTAACTTTTTCAGAAAGAAAGCATGCTTAATCTATGTTTGATGAATGAAAGGTGGGGAATAACAATATACTTTTTCGATCAGTATTCTTCTTTTCATGCTTGTACTTGGCCATTTTCTTTTTAGATTGTTAATTCTGTGTTTAAGATGGGAGTTCATTGTGTTCACTCTCCATCTTGAGGAAAGGTATAGGTACGAGGGTAGTTTAATATTTTAATAATACTATAGAATTCTCTATTTCCTCTTTTGCTCTTCTATACAAGAGCTTCAATTATCTACACAATTGATCACCAATCAATGATATAAATATTTATCCTTATTTTTCTTTTCCATAATTCTAATAATAATTATTATTGTGAAAATTAATTCTTACTGGCAGGGAAAAATCAAAAGAAGATAATTCTAATTGTGCATTCAAAACTCAAAATTTAGGGTTTTTTAAATATTCATAAAAGTATTGTTTGAGATTCAAGTGGGTGTATTGGATTAGGATTTTAAAAGTTTTTTTTGAGATACAAGATCTTATAGATTTTAAAAGACTATTTAGAATTGGAGGGACTTTAAAGATTTTTTTAAAAAACTTTTTTTACGATTAATATTTCATAAGATTGGATTTTAAAATATTTTAATACAATTTATAAAATTTAAAAGGACAATATAAATTTATAAGATTTTAAAAAACCATATGAATTTTTAACAAACATTCAAAATTACAAGAGTCGATAAAAAATAACAAAGAAATGCAACGATCTTAATAGGAAAAATTAAAACCTAATATAATTTTCTTAATCAGAAAAATTCATGGTAAAATTTCGTTTGGAATTTTTTGCAATTGATATTGTAAACCTTAGAGTTTTTGTTCTACGTGACGAGAGTCTTCTAACCATATACCGTATGCATGTTTTCGTTGAGTTTTTCAAGAAAATTTTGAATCTGAATTTATGGATTTTATTACATGAAAGTTTAGAAAATTTCTCAAATTATTTTCAATCGATATATTGAAACCTTAAATTGCTTTGGGCTTTTGAAAAATAAGTTTTTAGTGATCTATTGACACAAAAATTGTTTGATGTCGTTTCCTATAGCGAAAGAATTTTGTTCATAGATGTATTGTTATTAAACATAAGGTTCATATTACGAAAGTTTTAATATTTTTTTAAATCGATCTTGTTTCATTGATGTAAAACGAAAATTGATTTGGGGGATTTCTGTTCTCCTGTTGTTTTCTCACTATTTTATGTTATTTTTAATATAAAAATCACACATTTTTGTGCCAAGAAAAATCGCGACTAATAGCTTGAAAAATTATTTTTTAAACTTCCAAAACTCTTAAAAATTGCTCAGTAATCTGCTGTTTTTGTGATGGATTATATTAAAATCTTGTTGGATTGTTGTTTTTGGGTTATTTTGTGATGAAAATTGCTCAAAAATTTACTGTTTTTGAGCTTTGACGAAGCTCCCATGGCGGAACTCGATTTCGAGCATGTCGACCAGGCAAAGGAAGAAGAAGACTGCAGTAGAGAAATTTCATGAAATCTTAGGGGTTAGGGTGAAATTGTAAGAGAGACATCCTATTTATATTTCTCTTTAAAAAGTTTTACGAAATCCACACTAATAGAAAATCTATTAAAAACGTTAGATTTTTGAATACCATAATATTATTTTTCTTTGTTTGAAATTTTGATTGAATACCAAAGAATTTGGATGGACTATGAAATAATCATTACAATCCTAACTGAATATCGCATGAATTTTTTTTAATCCTTTATAATTTTAGTTGAATATCAATAATTTTTTTATTCAAAAATAATCCATCAAAATTCTTTAAAATTTAAAATCTCAATCCAATACACTGAGTTAGCTTTCTTTGTGGTTGTTAAATATAGCCTTCCCGGAATCACAACTACAAAATTTAAACTACAACATTTTCATGAACTACAGCTCACTGCAGTTAGGACTTGGGAGTATTTATCATCATCTTCATACTTATTTTGCTTTTACTACAGGTTTTAAAAAATTAATAAAAAAAATACATTCCACCTGGAATAATCACGCGTGTGATATCTGATCAAATGGCAATGCCATTTTTTTTTTTTTTTTTGGTAAATAATTTTTTTTTTTTCACTTTACCGGTGCATTATCCAGCTCAACGCAGTCACTGTCAACAAAAGGCATGCGAATAAGCCTTAATGGTCAGTCTTCATGAAATATATCACTTTATATTTGGATATGCAGTATAATTAAAAACTATTAATTTGCTTAAAATAATGTGAAGTTGGTTATAATTAAATGTTGATAAAAATTATAGTATCTCTTTCAACATCACTTGAACTAGGCTCAACCATATGTGGTAAGGCCTACTTTTTCTTGAATTGATCAAAATTGATGGATTTTTTTGTGACTTAGGGGACAATTGAGATATTTGGCACACATTAAGAGATTGAGTCAAGAGTAGATCATATCTGTGGGAGCTTGAGGTAATAATCCATAGTAGGTTATTTATTTGCCCTTTTCAACTTTAGATGGCTTAGATAATGTAAAGAATATAAATAATAAAAAATGCATGCAAATATAGTCTTAAATACTTTTTATGTAGTGTTAATTAATTTTAGAATGCAATTAAAATAGAATAAATAAAATTAATAAAGAAATTAAAATAAGTCTAAAAATTCAAATATATGACATGAACACATGCACAATTTTAAACCAACTCTATATACTTTATAAAACATGAATTGTTATTATTTGCACAAGTAAAATTTGGTGATCCTTTAAAATTTATAAAAAAAAGTTTTTAAAAAGTTACAAAGTTACACAATAAGAAAGCAATGATTATGCTTGTTGCGTTTAAGGAAAATATTCTATTCAATTTCCTTAACTAGGAAAAAAAACAATAAAACAATTATAAATTCTGTTAAAAATTAGGATAACATATTATTTTTTAAAATTATAAAATTTGTAATTTTTAACATTTCTCTTGCAAAATAATAAAATTATCTCTTGTAATTCCACAACAATATTATTTTTCGGGTTTGAAAAAAAATACAGAATATTTTAATAAAAGTCATAATATAAGAGAATTTTTTTTCAAAATATTATGTATTTTTTTTAAATTTGTGACGGTGTTTTGGGGCTCGACGAGATAATATTGTCTTATATTATATTATAAGAGAAATATTTTTTTTCATATATATATATATATAATAAAATTATTTACTTTAAATGTTTATGTGATTAATAAATTAAATTTTTTGAGTATAAATAAATGAATGAAATTCATAATTCTTCCATCGATATATATTAATAATTTTAAATTATACGTTGAATGTTAAATATATCGTAAAAGTGGAAATAGTAGTGTGATGAATGAGAGTTAACTAGGTGAGGGTGATAATATGTATGATCTTTGTCAATATAATTTTTAAAATAGGTTCATAGTGGTTTATTTAAAAATAAGTCTTAAGAAGAATGTTATATTTATAATCTATTTTTTTTATAATTTCTTATAATTATATTTTAATAATTGATTTCTGTTCATCTAATGATTATAATTGATTCAGTTATATTTTTTAAATAATTATTAATTTTTAATAAATTAAAATTAACTCTCAGAATTGACGAAAATCAAATATGGCTTTCTCCGAAATAAATGTGTTTTGTAACAAAAAAGTGGAAATCGTTAATTTATTTTATTTTTAAGCGTGGAGCTTATGTGACTTTTTCGACGTAGCTCGCAGGACAGGACCTGGTTCTTCTCTATTTCATATTCAAAACCTAACAACAGAATATCACGTTTGTTAGAGAACGATGGCGAACTCAGTGGCCGATTCACACAGCAATACTGTAGCGGTGCAAGCCACCAACGATGACGCTTCCGCCAGCAAATTGTATGCACATTCACTTTCTGATGTAAAGCTATGCGAAAAGTTGCTTTTGTTTTTGCATTTGGAATCATGCAATTTGTTCTATGTAAAGCTTTTTGTCTGTTCTATAATGGGTTATGAGCATGATTGTCCATCTGGGTTGTTCCTAACATGAAGTATGATGAAGCTTATGCATTTTTTTTTGACGTTTTCAAGTTAGTGTAAAAATCAAATTTTGCTTGCCTTTTTTTCTTAACTCTTTTTTAGGATTTTGCTCATTCTGTACCATTGGAGATAACCTTCATTGGGTTGTTGTTGTTCTGTCAATTTCTTTATTTTTATTTTTTTAATCATCTTTTTTGGTAGATTAGGAACAGGTCTATCTAGAAGCTGCTGTGTGTAAACATGATGCTGGCCTGTGATGGAGGCAGTGGCTAGATAGTGGTTAAATCCCTTTTCTTAAGGGACAGTCCTAATTTTGAATCCTCAAATCATCTTAAATTGATTTTCTAAAGAAAATGAGAGATTCTGTTTTGTTCATTGGAACTGCTTCATCCTTCCATCATATTCTTTCTTACGCCCTCATTTAGATTTTAGAAGTAATGAGTTTTTCATCGTTTATTCTTTCTACCATTTCTAATGCTTTTATATATTCTGGTCTACTTTTGTTTTACCTGCTTTGGTGCTTTGTCTAAAAGATGGCTCGTCAGGGGGTGATGCAATCAAAGGTTGTATTTGCACATGTAAAGATGAATATTTTAGAAGTTAACTGAGATGTTTCCTATTAAGGATGTCAATGTGGATATTCATCGGCACTAATCTAGCTGAATCTTGTCTCAGTACCTTAAAGCACTTCAGTGATAAAAAAATGCTTTTGGTTTTTGTTGAAATGTAACAATGCATTGCATGTAGAGAGAATGTTATTTATTCATAGCATGCCATACGCAAAACATGGTTCTGAGGAAACATTGGCTGGAAGCTGGATAAATTCCTTTTCTTGGAGTGACTGAGAAGTTTTATGTACTTAAATTAATATCACGCTTCCCCTTAATATGGTACACCTAAGACTTTTTATCCACCATGAAACACATATTTCCTCTGTTAATAGAATTTGTTCAAATTCTATTATGATAGACCATTTGCATAATTTGTTTTAATTTTAAACGTTATACTAATACAGTTACCTACCACACATGCAATGTGTGTATTGAGAAGCATGCTTTAGAAAGGAAAATTGACATTGTCCTTAATTTTGTGTATTGCTTCACTGTTCAGATATTATTGATATTATTCTTATTCATTTTGGTCATAACTTTTCATTAAGCTTTTATCAGAGTTTAAATGAATTATAGTAGTTATTGTTATATGATGAATATGTATTCTTCATAAAATGGCTGTAGGTCATGTGTGAAAAAGGGATACATGAAAGATGATTACATTCATTTATTTGTGAGAAGGCCTGTGAGGAGATCTCCAATTATTAATCGTGGTAGGATTTAGCTTCTTTATGGAATTGACTCGTTTAAGTACCTGTCCCTCAACTTAGTAGTTTGTTAATGCTTTTTTTATTGTTTGTGAATATAAAGGTTACTTTTCTCGTTGGGCTGCTATTCGGAAACTTCTATATCAGTTTCTTGATGTTGAAAAGAAGACAGATGAAAGTTCCCCAACAAAGAAGCAGATATTATCACTTGGAGCAGGCTTTGACACAACATATTTTCAGTTGCAGGTGCCTTGGTTTCCTTGTGAGTTGTCATAAATATTGTGCAAATTGTGCTTAAAAAGTTAATCTACTTCTGCCTTTGAAACTATAATTCTGCTATAATTTTGGAGGCATGTGGGTTGATTGAAGTTTGGGATTGAATTAATACTGATCCAAAGCTTTTGCATTTAAACCTTGGTGAAAATTTATTATTTTGTGTTTTAACAGGAGATGAGGACAGTTGATTTCATTCTTGTTGGGCTCCTGTGCTAACTGCTTGTTACTTTTACAATCTTAGTCCTTAATAGACAGAATGTAATACTCTGTGCTACAAAGTACAAAGACATTGGGAGTCTGAATTATGTTGAAACTTAAGTTCTCATGCCACTGATGTGTTTTTAGCTCAAAATATATATATAACGTGCGCGTGCTTGAGTGGTGGATATCCATACCTTGTGAAGAATTCTTTGCTATTAGAGTGTGTATTCAAGCTTCAGCTTTGCTTAGTTGTCTTATGTATCTTACTTATTGTAATGCTGGTTATATGTGATTAGTGCTCCCTTTCTGTTAGTTTGTTAATACAGCTGTCTCTAATCTGTTAGAGATCTGTTAGTAGCTTCAGCTCTATAAATAGAGCTTCCCTGTACTGTGTTCATTAGAACAAATAATACTGATCAATGACTTCATCTTCTCTCTCCCTTTTCTCTCTTCTCAAACTCTAATATTTGCGACTAGCACTTTTGCTTTCACCACTACTTGTGTTCTTGTTCTTTTTCTTTTTTCTATGTTTATCGGAGCAGTGATATAGCTGTTCTTTCATGGCTAAAAGGTCATGGGTTCGAATTATTGCCTTTTATAAATACTGCACACATATTTTAGAATGGACTCATACTTAAACGGACTTTTGGGTGTATATTTCAATTATGATATGACAATGTGTGTGCAAAGCTTACACTATTTGTAAGCTTAAATTGAATCAGCTGGACAACTACTCTAAAGCTTCCGTACAATTATTTTTTTTATCATTTTGTTATTTAAATTATCGAAGTATTGTAGCCTGGTAGTGAAGAAGAATGTTTCATTCTTTTCCCATGCACATCAAAGATGCAAAAATATATTTGATATGCAGCTTGGTTGGAGCCTGAGGCTTTTTTCTATAGCTTAAATCCTCTTGTTGACATGTTACTCTAAATATAGAAAGAAATTGTAAAACTCTGTACTTTGTTGCCAATAGGTCCAGTTTTTGTTGTAACTTTTTTGCTTATCTTCATTCATCTATGGTGTGTGCCAATTTACAGTTGTAATTTAAATTTTAAAAATCTTCTCTTGGCAGGATGAGGGGAAAGCACCATACTTATACGTGGAAGTGGATTTTAAGGAGGTAGAAACTTTACTACCTTTCAAAGGTTTTAGTAGCCAATGAAACTTTTGTTTCTGTGTAGGATTGATCGTAGATTTTTGTCAAGAAACTCTAGATTAATACTATCTGGTTTGACTAAATATATATCTAATTGCAAAATGAAGAGAACAAAAAAACTGTATACAGTTTTTGAATCTTTAGTTTCTAACTGCCATTATCGGTATAGAAAGTTAAACCTTCTATTGTATTTGTAATCTAGGTAACTAGTAAAAAGGCAGCGCTTATTGAGACTTGCAGTCAGTTGAGGAATAAAGTTGGTGAAGCAGCAGCCATATCAAGAGGTAAGCAATTCTGAATATGTGCTTTATACTGAAGGGACATTTTTCTGATGGTTTTTATTCTCATGGTGTCACAGTGCCAATATTAATTAAGATAAAAAAAAATTACGTCCTTCAAAGTTTTCAAACCCTACACATTTAGTTCCTCTAGTTTTGCTGCTTTTGCACCCACTTCCCCTCTCCTATTGTTTAAACATATACAGTGAAAGGAAAATGCGTAATGATACCAAGTGAATGGATTTAGCAATCTATGTACCCCAAGATCACAGTCTTGCATGTCTAGTAATTCCCACTTACCTGTTGTGCCTGAGATTTCCTCGCTTTAAATCAAATGAAATTATTGGATTTTTTGGCTTGAAAAATCAAATTGAGCAGATGATTATTTCCACTGCTGAAACAACATTAAACAATGAATTGCTCAAGGTTCAAGCAAGTAATCATTTTAAAGGATTCACTTAATCTTTTGTTTGCCAAGTAATGACTCATGGGGTTCTCTGCTGGTGTATGAGTAAATTGTGAATAAGAAACTTTTGGGCTTGTTTGCTAATAATGGTTGAGGAAGATCATTAAAAGTTTTAGTTTGATTTGTGCTGACCATCATCCAAGTTTGTTTAAATTTGTTTTATCATGACAATCATTGTCGTTCTCCAACTGCAACTGGAAGATCTAAAGAGAGTTAGTCTCCCTCATTTGGTTGCTTCTTAGCTTTGGGTTTACTTACTGAAAAAAGTCCCGAGTTTTTTTTTTTTTTTTTGTAAAGAGCCAATTCAACCCAAAACCTTAAGGTTTTGGGTGAGGACCTTTTTAATGGTTTATATTATTCTCTAACACCCCCCTCACGCAAGAGTCCTTTGGGCTTGAAACGTGGATATTGCCTGCGATGCACGGACACGCAATTTTTTTAAAAAAATGCATGTCGGAAACGTGTCGGACAACGACACGCTCCGAAACGTTCTGACACGTTCTGACACGCGGTCAATGCTCCGACACGCAGTCAACTTTTTCCAACACGCGGTCAACGTTCCGACACGCATCCGACAATATTTTTTTTTTTTAGAACTAAATTTTATTTTACTAACTAAACATGAAAAAAAAATTTATAAATCAATTTTTTTCTGTTATGAAATTTGACATGAAAAATTAATAAGGTATGAAAAATTATTTTTGTTTATATTTATGTTATAAAATTTGAATATTTGATTGGTTATATGACTTATTATGGGCTGTTATAACTTATAAGTATTAAATATAAATTATATTATATATATTAAAAATATTATTTAATATCAAAACGTGTCCCAACGTGTCGGAATATGACATTTTTTAGAATTAACGTGTCGCATGTCGTGTCCCGTGTCAGTGTCGGTGCAACATAGGATATTGCATAGGCTCAATTTTTTTTGGTTTTACCTTATGCTTTTTTAATTCCACAAGTGGGGGGCGGTGAGGATCGAGCTCGTGACCTTATAGTCACTGAAGTTCTAATACCATGTAAATAACCAATTCAACCCAAAATCTTAAGGTGTTGGGTGAAGGCCTTTTTAATAGTTTATATTATAGTATACTTAAAGAAGCATAATTGCAATAAAGGTGGTCAAGTCTCTACTGATATGACTTTGCCATTTTTGTAAATCCTCTTCTGTTCGTTTTCTTTACTAAAAGAAATCCATTTGTGAGCTTTAAACTCCATTTTTGAAAGTGATGCTCCTTTGCTTCTTAAAACAACTATTAGTATTCTGAAATCATTAGCCATCATAAAGTCGAGAATAGACTTCACCTAATCATTTGATTTACCAAAAACCATATCTACTATGAAGCTGTGTATTTCCATGTGTCTTACACTACATGACCATTCTGATCCCCTTGTAGGAAAATATTTTATTCCCATGGGTTTTTCCCTTCCAAATCTTCCCAAAATTTTGAACTTTTTTTTCCTGTAGTTGTACTGGTGGTGCACACACAATTATGACGTTGAATCCTTACTGTTCAATGACAAATTTTAAAGAACACATTATTGTTCCAAGTCATTTTAACATTGTACTTGAGCCATACAGAATGTTAGAAAAAGTGGTTTTCCATATGTCCATTAGAGATATCCACTCCACCATTAAACTGCAAATGCTTGGTGTAAACAATTGATTTCTTTCATTTTAGATGGTGTAGGAGATGGATGTGGAACTGTGTTTGTGAGGAAGGATGATGACAGTTTAGAGGGTATTCTAGTTTCTTAAAAGTTGGAATGAAATATCTATAAATTCTAAAAACATTTTAGTTAATGATTGGTCATTATAATTGAAGAAACCTAAATGAATTATCTGTAAGCAAACTGGAGTTGGGATCGAGACTCATCAAGTGATCTGTCAGATTAAATTAGAGAAAAATAAACCTCAAGATACTATAATCGATATCCCGTCAAATCTCCACATTAAAACTAGATAATTTTCTTTTTGCTTGAATAGACCGAAAGCGTAGATGTCAGAAGATTAGAGAAACTTTGATTGTGCCACTGAGCCTAATCTCAGAACTACAGACATTTTAGAACTGATTTGACGTGTAGCATTTTAGAATGAAATCAATATGATATTTTCAGTGTGATTGTTGTAAACATCAATACTGATAATTAGCATGCATGATTACTGCTGATCCGAACTGATGCTTGTAAATTTGCCAGAGAAAGGAGAAGTGATCAGTGATCACTATAAACTAGTCCCTGCAGATTTGCGTGATGTACAACAGTTAAGTGATGTTATAACTCTTGCTGATATGGATCCAAGGTATGTATTGGGAGTCAGCTCTCTTTCTCTCTTGTTCTCTTGTATACAGTTGTGAAATTCTGTTACAATTTGGATATATTTGATAATTTGTTTGAGGAAAAGATATGAAAATAAACAAAGGGTTTTATGATTGTTATGTTGTAGGAAAAGTGATTGTGTAATGTTATAGAGATTCGTTTTGCGTGCCATAATTTTTTATTTATTTTTTTGTTTTAAAAAGTGTGGGGCCCACAAAATGTTGTGAGGGTAGGAAAGTTTGTTGTGTTATGTTAAATGATAAAACTAAAACCCATAAACAAAACACCTCTCAGAACCTGAAAGTTCTAAATAAAAAATCGTATTAAAGACAGTGATGATATCTAATCCTGTGCTTCTTCTGTACATCTTTCTTTCTCTTCTCTTTGGAATTTTGTCTTATAATTTTTTGTGAAAGGCAATGTTTCTGAATTTGATAATTGCACAGCAATATTGTGTTTCTTCATATAGCTTACAATTACACAACTTCGGAATATTTTGAAATACTTTTACTTTTTGAATATAATTGGATAACTTGTTAGAAGTTGCCAGCATCTCCCGGGAAAAGAAATAAATATAAATAAAAAATTTCTCATAGAATCTTGAAGTTATAAAATTGAAAATGATTTTAAAGACAATGCTTCTGAATTTTATAATTGGAAAGTAATGTTGTGTTTCTTTATACAACTTACAATCATATATTTAAGAAAATGGAAAGTGACAGGAAGAAACCAAGTTTGAGCATCAGAATTCTTAATTTCCATTTTTTTATGGCTTCATGTGCTAACTACTTGTATAAATGTAGTTATTGAATTCTGTGATCTCATATTTGCTAATGAAATTGATATGTTGCATGATATATATATATATATATATATATATGTATATTTGGTTTAATTGTAGTCAAACCTCATTTCTTTTATGATCAAAGAATGATAATTTGATTCATTCTGATATTGTTATCAGTCTGCCGACTTTTATAATTGCAGAATGTGTTCTGATCTACTTGGATCCTGATTCAACTCGTGTAGTTGTTGGTTGGGCTTCACAAACATTTTCAACAGCAGTATTTGTTCTTTATGAGCAGGTTACAACCTTCATATTTTCTTATTCTACTTATTTTATGCGAATAAAGTAGGATCTTCTTTGCATTATATGGTACTTTGTTTACAGATCCACCCAGATGATGCTTTTGGGCAGCAAATGATAAGAAATTTGGAGGTATGGGTATCAAAGTTTTGTTTTATACCATGGTTTTTAGATTACAATTTTTGAAAAACACTTCTGCAGTTTTCTCATGTCACTCACCCTTCAATTTCTGTGCCTGCCTTTTTATTTTTTTAAAACGTGGGGCCCATGAATTCTTCTCTCTGCAGGAAACTTTGTACTTATCCTGTTACAGGAGAAGTTTAAAGCCCTTACAATTTATTCATTTCAGATTAACATTGAAAATGTGTGATCTCAAAAGTGGAGTTGCTTTTCTCACTCAAACGCATACATATGTGCTTTGCATTTTATTTGATTTTTCTAATTGCTGTACCTTTGTTTTTGTTCACTATACTAATACCGACAAGTTTGTGGAAAGTGGTTAGCAAGCTAGAGATTCAACAAGATGAACTTTACCTGCAATTTTAGAAATTTGAATCCCACTAGAGAACACTTTGTGGGAAGGGATAGGATCAGTAACCCAAGCAGGGATATCGCTCCAAAAGGGTGTGGGGAAGTTTAGATCTATTAATTGTTTATAATAATAAATTTAAATCGTAAGTCCATACAAGGAACATGGCTTGACATACACAAGTGTGTCAAATCAAGATACTAGTATAGCCATAGACAATGAACTGAAGCAACGATCAATTGAATGAGGCATAATCTCCTCTCTCTCTCTCTCTCTCTCTCTCTCTTTCTATATATATATCCATTTTGACAATTCAGAACTTATAAGGGAAGGGTACAACAAAAATGTATAACCATAATGTTATTAGCAATAGAGTGAAAGCAAGCAATTGTTCTCTCTGACCTGCTTGAATTTTTTTTAAGGGTGGGTCTCTGGCTTCTTGCCGCTGTGCCTCTAGCAATGGTATAGTTAAAAAGATTCTATCATATTTTTTAATCAGAAACAGAAGGCACAGACTAACTCCACCATTAGTTGCTTGAAGATTAGCCTCCTGTTAGTTGCATAGTCTATTACTTCACACTCCTCTCTAATCATGTGAACAGACATTTCTAAATAGAAAAAAGGTTCTGCTTCTTGACATATCATTGTACAGACACAATTGAAGCGAAGTCAAGAAATAATGTTTTATATATATTGATAAAATTGGTGATCAGCTAATGGTTATGTATTCTGTAACTCTGTATTGAACATGAATTGGTTTGTGCTTACTGGATTTTCTTTGTTAGTTTTGATTTTTAGTTTCTTGTAGAAGGATATCTATCCTCTGCTCTTTGTTCTCCTTTCTTACCAAGCAACCAATGCTACCCAGATTAGTTCTTTGAAGTTTATTTCCTAGGATATGGTTCTTTTAGACCTCAAGTTTCTTTCAGCGTGGATTATGATACTTGAGTTGAGTCAAGTTTTGGGTTGTTTCATCTCTCTACTATATGTGATGTGTCTACTAGTCACTTTTCTTCTATTCTGGGATCATTCATTGAATTGGGACTGCCATTTCGATAGAGATTTGAGTGATAATGAAACTAGTGAACTATAATCCCTTTTGGTATTACTGTAAAGAAGGTAAAGGGTGGAAGAAAAAATACATATTGAATGCACGAATCTAAGTGATTAGGCTCCATGTGTATGTATATGCACGGAGTGGGGCTTACAAGTGCGTATAAGATTAGGCAGAGCTCACAAAAGTGACGGGAAATCCAATTTTGAGTAAGTGCCAAATTCATAGAAGCTCTCAAAGTAATTTATGCAAGGAGTCATCTACTATATTTTGTTATTCTAATATATATTTATGAGTCTGCTTAAAGTAACAGACCTAGTGGTACTTGTTACAAACAATCCTGAGTAAAAAACTGCGATAAGAGGTGAAGGTCGATGAGAGAATTAGACAAAACCAAGTTTACAGAATTGATGATGTATTCTCTGCTATGTTGGATTAAGTGAAGTTAGCCTCATAAATATTTATTTTGATTGAAAATTTGGAATGAATTTCTGAGTTTTTCATCGATAACCATTTACCTTGGGTTTGAGATTGAAGGGTTAATAATAATACATGATTTATGCATTTAGATATATTTTGTGCCAATAATGATTATTTATTTCATTTATAAGAATACAATGTCAAATGAAATGAATATTTATTTTTTGTCCCAAATTTGTGCCTTCTTGTGGAACGTCCTTTTACAACCTAATTTCTTACATAAATTTTCAGTGACTAGAAGAACAACAGCAATGAAAATGTCTCATTTTATGTATGAGCAGCACACTATCTAAAATAAGGACTTGCGCCTCTGTCAATTTTATGTTTATGTTATTGCTTTGATTTTGACTTAATCATTTCTGCTCAGAACTATCCTATAATGGACTGTCATGCATCCATTGTTTGTGGAGAAAAGTTGCTTGCTGGTTTCTGAGTGGAAAGATGAACTTGTATAACTTATTTGAAGCATATATGGAAGATAGCTATCTCATGTACATAAAATTTGTGTATATAGACATTCCTGGATTGACAGATTCATAGATGATATAGTCATTGATGTGTATGAAACCATAATATGATTTATCTTTCCTGTTTGCATCAGAGTCGAGGTTGTGCTCTGTTGGGTATTTATGCTACACCGACTTTACTTGCAAAGGAAAAATTATTTCTGGACCAAGGATGGCAGGTAATGTAACTTTTACTAAAAAAGAAGTCTTTGGTGTTCCTTTTTTGTATTTGTGATGTATCTGATATATAATTCAGTATCCATTGGTGGAAAACCATGTAAATGATAATATAGTCGGCAATCTGCAACTCTTTGATAGCTCTTCAAAATAGGCTGGAAAATTCTGATTATTGATAATTGAAATAATTTGTGTCATTTTAGCTAATAGTTATGATAATTGATTATCATCAGTATCTTAGTTGAGCACAGTTATGGCTGAAAATTCTCATTTGGTGACATGTTATGCACTAGGGGATTTGTACCTGCATTATGCAATTTCTAGTATATAAAAAAAATGTCAATCCTATTGAGCAGGAGAAGCCTTGGATGTCTAATATATCTTATCTTTTTTGCCCATTTATTAAAGCATGACTTCCCTCATTCCATTTTCTTTACAAAGGATGTTTGTGATAGGGAGGGGGATAGTAGGCTAAGGTGCAGGCAAAGTGGCTTGGCAGAGATTCAATCCTGGGATCAAGCAGTTCCCAGAGGGACTTGGTGCCACTTGAGCTAAGGCTCATGGGCACCATTTCTATTCTCTTGAAGTAATGGATTACATAATTTGAGACAATAGCAAGTCAAATTTGAAACACATTTTCAGGATTATTACCGTTTTATGAAATTTCACTTTTTACTCAATTTCAAGTCCTACTCTTGATGTTAATGTTCCATTTTTATGAATCATCATGTAGTCTTAATGTGTATTTATTCTATCACTAATATATTGATACTCTTATGCTATTCATTTTTGTGGGTATCAGAAGTCTGTTGCCTGGGACATGCTAAGAATTTATAATGATTTTATTGATGCTCAAGAAAGACGCAGGTATTCTTCCGAATCAGACCTGGAAGCTTATGTGTTAAATTTACTAATTTTTATGTGTTTCACTGATGTTTTGATGCTGAAGGCTTTTAACTGACTAATAGTTTATACAATTGACTTATTCACTAACCCATAGGGGTGGCAAGGATCGAACTTTAAACCCCTTGGTGATAGAGGCTCTAATACGATGTCATGAACCAATTATCTTAAAAGCTTAAGCTATTAAATAAAGACGCATAAATAATTTTATATTATATCTCTAACAATACACGTAAAATAATTGTTCATCTATGAACAAAAATATTATTTTGAATGGGTTCTAGTTATGTAAAAGTCGAGGTGTACAAACATAATGGAATAGTGGAATTAACCAAATTTAGTGGTACCCTGTCAGTTCTGCCTGAAGGAGCATATGTAATAGTTGCTTTGACTTGATGCTTCCATTTCCTGGCTTCTCTTCTAGGGAAGCCTTTTGCCTGTTTTTTATTCGCATCAAGATTTTAATTTGTACAAAGTACTATTTTCTACCAATACTTTTTTTTTTTGTTGAGATATTCCAATCAGTTCATCGCTTCGGGATGGGTCCCGGGATTAAAGCTTTAAACCTCTCCCAAAGACGGTACTGGAGAGGGCCGAACACATGCTCTCACCCTCATCTACTCAGTTTCCTGGCGCCAACTGAGCTACCATCATTTGGTCTACCAATATCTTATGATTGTCATTTAATGAAACTATTTTATTTCTATTATACAAAAGTTTGTATCATATTACGAACAAAAGCCAATTCTTCCCTGATTCTCCATCCCTTTTTTTCTATTTTTTATCTACTTTATGGTTGGTGACCTGTTTCTTTTGTAAATCATATTAAAAGATACTAGTTGGTGATATTTTATGTTCAGGATTGAACGACTGGAATTGTTTGATGAATTTGAAGAGTGGTACATGATGCAGGTGAGTCCTTTTTTTCGTTCCTGTTGTTAATTGCGATAAAAAGTGTCTGAATTCTGTTAAGATACATTTTGCTGGGTCTTTGAAGGGTGGATCAAGAGCAGGTTAATCTCCTCTCTCTCTCTCTCTCACTTTAAGTGGGGGTACGAATTGCAGTTATTCTTGTTTATTTTATTTAGGAATCGATGGTCAGAGATGAAAAGTAAATAAGAAATTTATAATTTAACCGTTAGTCCAGTATAATGCCAGCAATTATTGGTTACAAGACCCACAATCAGCAACATGCTGTCATCAGTGATGAATAGTTCCTCTTTTGTTTATTCCACTTCTGCCATCTGAAATTTCTCTCCTTGCTAATGATTTTCAGGAGCACTACTGTGTGGCTTATGCAATCAATGATCCCAAGGTATGATCTTGATCGTACTTATTCTGTCAGATGTAGCAGATTGGTAAAAGTATCTTCGTTTACTATATGATAAGGAAATAAGCACTGCAGATTGTTTAAATCAATCCACAAATGAATTTGTATTCTTTATAATATCTTGCCCGGATTTAAGTTGGAAAATTACTTTTAAGTGTAGCATTTATTGCAATCTTATATTACAATATGATGATGTCAAGCTTCTAATTTGGAAAAAGGTTGGTGTGTGTCGGTTTTTTGGGGCAGGGGGGAATAGGGTACTTTTTCTGGATATGAGTCTAGACATGAAAATATAATATGATGGCGATGGGTGGGTGTGTATATTTATTGCATTTTTTCCTATTTTTTTATTATCGGAGTTTTGAGGGACAATAATATATAAGCATTTCTTCCAATAATGCAGGGACTTTTTAGGGACTTTGGTTTTGTCAATGACAAGAGTGTGCTTCCTTCCTCATGAAGCACGAGGGTACACTCCCATTGCATAACATATTATATTTGTATTACCAATTGCCATCTGCGGTTGTAAAACTCATGGTGACAAGTGCCAGCTCACTCTGCTGGGAATGTTGTCTAGTAAAAAGGTTCTCTCAGCAACTTGTTCGTTATTATTTCAGAATTCAGCCAAATGGATGATTAGTTTTTGTATGGACTCCTCCATGTATTTTTTGTTTGACACAGCACAGACACTACCCCTTTTTTCTGCTAGCTGTTTGGCATAGAAAAGTGGTGGTCCCCACACAGCACCAACCGAGATAATATGTCAAATGTAGAAGAAATATGAAAATAGTATGCATTGTTTTTACTTTTCAACACGGACACGGTTTTATGCTTTGGCATCCTTTTGCATACCCTTTTTTGGTTCCTCTCTCTCTCTCTCCCTCTCTCCCTTTCTGTTTGAATGAATAGTGTTATATTGGGGTGAAAGCTGAGTAGATATTTGGTGCAAGGGGAGTAGATATTCTGCCAAAAATGAAAAAAAAGATATGGAAGAAAATAACCATAAAAATAAGAATAGTGTAAATGTGTTATTTTTATTTTTATTTTATATTTGATAAAAGATGTACCACTACCAGTGATGGATACAAAAATATTTTGGTCAAAGGGTAAGTGTATTTTTTTTTTTTTTTTTTTTTTTGTATTCAATGGCACTGTACTTTGTCTGAGGAAAGATACCTCGTTTGATAGGTTGGTCAAAACGTGACTTAAAATAGTTATTAAAATTTTGACAGTTGCAGAGGAGTACGTAAGTGAAGCAGATGGCAGTAGAGAAATATGGATTTTTTCCTCCCACGTTGATGGCTTTTTATCATTGCTTAGCAATAAAAAGACAACAAAACATATTACAAAAAAAAAAAAAAAAAAAAAAAGACAACAAAACAAGTTGCTAGAGAGAGGAACAAGTGAAAACCGTTATTAGCAATAATGTTGTATGTTTTATTGCCTCTGATGATTGCAGTGGACAGTGCGTTCAACTGTTCAACTGTGGTGTTAATCTCCCTTCTCTGGTACCTACGGGCCCAGGACACATGCGAGCAGATATCTGAGTATCTATTCTTAGTGCCCTATTTGCACCACCATTACTCTTAGTTTTATTTTCTTTTTCGAGATTGTTAAATAAGAAAGAAAAGTACCATTAATATTAATGAAGTATGGATTGGGTTGGTTTAATTTATTTGCAAGTTTTATGAACCCAAATTCCAGTTTAGTCCTATTTCAAGTTTTAATTAATGTGCAATCCCATCTTAACTGGAAATTATTGAGTCCAAATTTGATTAAACTCATTAATATATATAAACTAGACTCGTGACTGGTAATATACAATCACACTAATCAAGCTCAATCAATTATTTATTGAAAATCGGGCTTTGCACATAAAATATAATTAAAAGCCGACCCTAACTAAATAAGTACAAACATAAAATCATATATAGTATCGTAAATTGGATAGACTTGAGAGAAAGATGTTTGGTATTTTCCTTCTTTAAGATAGATATTATCATTGAAGACAAACTCCAATTTACATGAGAAAATAAGGGAAACAGAACCGAAATCCTACACAGGGGGGACGATATCTTAAAATTGATTTTATGCATAGAACAAACATCCTTTAGTTTTTTAGTTGATCTCGAGATATGATCACTAACACCGCAAGCATCATGATCACATTCATGTAAGCTTGTACAAAACATACATCATTCCTCTATAAACAACTTCCTTTAAATGGTTCATTCATGGCATTATATAACGAGTCTAATGTTATAGGAGATAAAATTATCTCTACACATATATAAAGTATGTGAGGCCTATATGAAGAGAAGAGAGAAAAAAAAATATGTACACCATATACTTTTATATATAATTATTTCATACAGATATTAAACCCTTATATAATAAACAAAAAAATGTCTTTATATATAGTAATAAAACTACAAATAACAGAGGTACGGTGGGCCCACTAGAAGAAAAAGAAGAAAAATGAGTTCGTTTGGAACTTTAATAGTCGTATTCATAAACATGGACCTTGGAGGAGGTGGAGGTGGGGGTGGGGGTTGAAAGAAGGGGTCCCCTGTCTGCCTTTTTAGAAGTGGACAGATGCATAATTTTCTCTGGATTGCTGTGCTGCCCCCACCACCTCATACCTCTTTGATATCAGCTTTTCATGCTCTGCCTGGTGGCTCAATGACACCCAAAACTATGGAGATTAGTTTATTCTTAGGACCTCGTTTTACAATGAATTTGTTTGCAGTTAAACTTCTAATATATTTGCACTTGTCCAGATTATATTTATAGTTTTTTTTTTTTTTTTACAAATTCAATTACGTGTTTTGCGAAATATAAATATTTAAATATGTATTTTTCAGAATATATAGTTTGTAAATATAATTTTTTTTTTGGGACCAAGGGTAAGAATGAGACAAATTTAAAGGGAATGAAATTTTATGGCCCAAATTAAATAACAGATTTACAAAAAAAAAAAAAAAAAAAAAATCCAATACATTTGTTTTAATCAAGATATTTTCGTAAGCAAGAGACTTCTAAACATATTGAAAACTGGATTGTTACTGCTTAAAATATTAGCTTATGAGAAATATTATTTTCCTTTTATATAAGATATTTTTTTTTTCATGTTCTCTTACTTCATTTTCGCACCTAACTTTTTTCTTTTTTCTTATAATGATAGCTCACATTTATTTTCTCATAAGATAATTATCTTATGTGAAAAGAGACTAATAAAATCCTTACTTTATATATAACTTAACTTGATGTATATAGAGAAAAATAATAAATCTACAAATAAAGCGGCTTGATTATATTCCAACCTCATGTAGTCTTGAATGTCACTTTTATAGTTATTAATAAAATTATCTAATAAATCAGCATATGTTAAGATGTAAATTGTTAGGGTTGAAAGATTTCTGATTTGATGATTTAAATTTTAGATGAAGTAACCAGTTCAGGCTAATGATAAAAAAATTCACATTTTAACTTATGAAGGGAATTAATTTCATACAAATGAACGGGTATATCTTTTATGTTTAGGTAGTTGAAATAGCATGTGTAATCACACTTCTTGTGTGTTTAATTGATATGCATTGAATGTGAAATTGTTGCTGTGGTTTCTGTTACGTGTTGCTTGCGTATTTGTCACGGCTAATGAGGTCACATTTGTGAATTTAATTAGACAAGAAAAGGGATTTTTATCTATGCTTAATATCTCATATACACTTAAATTATTATTTATGGATAAAGTATTAACAACCATTAGGAAAAGACATTATGGAGATAGATGAAGTCAAGAAAGAAGAATGGAAGAAAAATCTAATATGTCATACTAAGTTCTCACTTAGCGTTATTGCACTCAGAAGCTAACGCCAACACAGTACCCGAAGAAATTGAAATTTCTCTTTGGATATGTAATGCCACAGCGCCAAGAGTATAGCTCTTTGGATATGTAGTGCCACCTCTCCATGTTAAAATCTAGCCTTTGAACCATAATTTTATGGGAAATAAGATTTTGATGTTATATGAGATAATTTTATCTTATGCAATACACAAAAAGTGAGTGAATTTCAATTTTTTTTCTTCTTTTTAGTTGGTTCCACCTTCTTTTTTTTTGTATTATATGAAACAATCTGTCGCATACAACATGAGAAACATATTCTCCTAATTTTATATAGAATAATGGTGTAAATAAATTGTGTAATGAACGTTGATATATCACTGTAACAAAAAATTTCATTGCACTATTAGAGTAAAGTACCAACAAAATTACGGTATGTGTTAAAAAATGAATAAACATCGTGCTGTTAGATTACTTGCAAAAACCGGGGTTTGATAATAAACAGTAAGGAAATACGTATGTTTTTGTTTTTCTAATAAATTTACTCATTAGATGTGTAATGTTCATATTCTTTTCTTCTTTTTTTCTGTTTGTAAAGTGAATGTAGATAAGTTATCTACATTCGCTCTCAAAACGGCGTCGTTTTGGGTTGAAAAATTAAAAAATTATAATTAAAAAAATTATTATAACCCTGAAATTAATTATAATTACAAAAATACCTTCATTTCCGTCTCGAAATGATATCGTTTTGAGTTTAATGTAGATAAGTTATCTATATTAACGATAAAAAAAGTGAATTTTTTTTTACACAAAATGTTCCTACACCTTTCAAAAATTCAATTAAATCAATCACGGTGTTTTCACCGTTTGATAGGAGGGAGTGGAGTTCCTTTTCATAAACTTTGTTTTCAAATGTTTTAAAAGCTAAGAGACAAATCTGAAAGAACCATGGTATTGAGCACCCAATTATTCTCAAAAAGATTTTCTATCTATTCTAAGAGACTAAGACCGAGGACAATAGTATATTAGCATTACCCCAAACTTTTCTAATATACAAAGGAATATGATATTTATTCGGATAAAATATAGGCCCAATAGTTATAAGCTCATAAAAGATCCAAAGGCGGTAGTAGGTACAATGTTTTCATTGTACAGACTATCCTTATTGCACAAATCAGATTCATAGCTCGGGCTATCATTTTAAGCCACAAGGCAAAACTTAAGGACTAAAAAAGGATATAGAAATTCTATAAGATCCATCGCATATGAGAACCAGTGTAGATGAGACAGCTCTAACTTACTATCACTCTAGGAAAGCATACTAGCATCTAGATTTATTTATCAAGGAATAGCTTGCAGCATAACAACTGTGACAGAAGAGCAATCACCCTAAATTATCAATAAGAAGAGATACCGCTTACAAAAGATGGAACAAAGCACACTACAAATACAGAGGGAACAATCCCAGGTACAAATATCTCTCAGTATACACCTCGTATTGATACTGATTTGAGCGTCGGAGTGTCTTTGCAGATATCCTCTCAGTCGCTTTCATTGCGCTAGAGCAACAACACAAACCAACCAAGGAGAAGCCCATTCCACCATAGCACCAGACTAACTTGCTACAATTTTAAGGCCCACAACCTTCAATCTTCAACCGTGTGTGATTTGACCCATCTTATCTTGAACCGATCATATTAGATATTTTTTTCCCAAATTTTTTTTATGCAATATTAATGTAAAAGATTTGTACTTTTATCACTTAATTATGCCTTGTCACATTATTAAAAAAGTTTGACTCTATTAACAATTACTTCAATTTTTTTTAATGATATGATAATACATAATTAATTAATAATGCAAAACATTTTTCAATAACAGTTGTTAAAATTAAACTACTTATATCTCATGTATTTCAATATAAAGTTGACATGCACTCAAAAGTTAAATTAATGAAGAACCTAATAA